AATATCAATAAAAATATATATTAATCATTTTGATCCTCATTATATATTAGGCAAGGAAAAACAGTATGAAACAACTCTATTACATATATATATATATATATATATATATATATATATATATATATATATACACGGGAGCAAAACAAATTAACACACATAAATATAACTCAATTACATATAATAGATTTCATACAGAAATGCATACAAATAAAATATAAACATAAACATATACGCACATATACATATCTATGATAACAAGTACATGCACGCACATATACATATAAACCTAAATACACACATATATACACACAAACTTTTTACTTACATATATAAAAAATATGATATACCAAAGTTCAAATCAGAGGTAACACACACACACATATATAAATATATATATATATATATATATACATATCTACAAATAAAATATGTATAAAAATATCTTGTTATGAGTTTGAACATAAAATAGATCGCTAGTATAAACATGCTAACATATAGATACATAAATATACCTTCAAAACCAACACACAGGCACAATCCCATTATTCAGACATATCATTTATATACACCATACAGGACATAAAATACAAATATATATGGGTAATTTGAATTTGAATCTTTCTATGCTTCGTTTTTTGATTGGTTATTCTAGCTTTTGTAACAAATTAGGATCGTTAATTAATCTGAAACTTTTTAAAACCATTTATATTGATTTTATCATATACGGAAACCGATCTTATAACTATTTTTTAAAAAATAATTATATATATATATATATAACAATTTCAAATAGAGTTCATCGAGATTATTTATATATATATATATAACAATTCAAATATTCTATATATATATATATATATACAATATGTATTGTTATGAGTTTGAACTGCTACGAGGCGATCCCCCATTATTCAGATCATTTGACCATAGAGAAAAAGCATATATTAGCGTGTGTCAATCGTTATTCTGGTCTATACTACTATAGCTATTCTCTCACTCTATTCACTATTCTAATATTTCGAACGGCGTCTCAAGCACCTATTAGTGCAGTATTATTTTCAACAGCATACTATAGTTGTTTCTACGATTACAAAGTCTCTACTACAACAAGCATTACGAGCATTCGTTGACATTACAAAAGTGTCAACGTCGGTTCGTTGAGTCACAATATATATATATATATATATATATATATATATATACAAACACATTATGCCTGCTGACTCTCAATGTTGTCAAGACATGAGTCGCGTAAGTCATTGAGGTTGTAGAAGCTCCTCATATACTGCAATAACAACAGATGTGATGTGTCAATATAACCTAACGGAGCCAAGGTTGGTTTTGATTTCAAATTTCTCTTTCTCTAGATTGGTTGCCAACTCAAGACAGGAGAGCCCAGTCAACCCTGCTGTCTAGCCATATAGTTAGGGAAAGAGAATAATTAGTTTCCCAAGGGTATTTGTGAAAAGTGAGAACGCAACGAACCTGTTCACCGAATCGATACACTAAACGAATTGGAATTTTACTGTATATAGCATCAAAATTTCTTTGTTCTGCGATGAGATGAAAAAGACATTCTACATATTTCTGAAGAGATAGCTAAAAATTGTTACTTTTCAGAGTGAAATTTTAATTTTTTTTAAAAAGACAAAACAAAAAGACCTTTAAAAGAAGAAAAATATATTTAATCTTTTTATACATATTCTATTTAATGTTCATGGTTTCAATTGACTCTTCTCTACTTAATTCATAAATAACGGACTCGATTCTCTCTACATTTCACTTTCAACTTATGATCGAAGGCGGTTATTAAACTACAAATGATATCAGAGAAAGAAAAAGAAAACTATGATGGTTGTGATAAGCAGGTTTTGATACTAAAATTAAGAGTGATTTATGGTATCTTTAAGATATTTGTCACACACACATACAAGTAAAATTTTAAATAGAAAGGCATAGATGTTATATACAACTCCTTTCTTCCTCACATATAAACGTATATATGTGTGTGTGAATTTGTGTATGCTTGTGTATGCTAGCAAGTTATAATACGGAAGTAAATGTGTTCAAATGATGACTGACATTTTTGTCTAATTCTATTTAATCTTAGTCACGTTTAACATTACATGAATTAGAGAAAAAAATGTTTTCTTAAAATTTATTCTCTTATCAGCGCTGTGCAAATGAATATTTTTTTCTAGCGTTTTACTAGTTACTCGTCAATAGTATAGTTACATCTTGCGCATATTCAGCGTCTGGTGATAAGGTTTGTTCGGAAAATATCTAACCATTAATGAGCAAAGAGCTGACTGCAGCATAGCACCTACTTACTATACATCAAGTCTGCGATCACAAACACTTATAACACCGCTTGCCTTGAAGTGGAGCCCATAATACCTCAGTAGGAGGTAAGACACCTCCATAAATGCCCCCTCATCAAATACATTCTTATAGACTAGAATTTAAACGATCAATAATTACCTATTCTCGAAGCAAGTAAATACTTATAGACTCAAATATAAACGACTACTATATACGTAGATATATATTCTATTTATTATCTAGATTATATATATATATATATATATATATATATATATATATATATATATATTACATTATATTTATGTATTTTCTATTACTCTAAACCTAGTTTTTAGTAGATGCACGTGTTTGTGTAGACGCCCTATTTTTTAAAAAACGATGTGAATTACCTCTACAGGCCTGCGCATTCGAGAAACTTAACAAAGGAAACCGGTTGGTCATGGGGCTAGCAACTTTAAATCGTAAAGCTTTTTAGGCGGTATGTACGTTGGTGTTGGGAAAACACGTGTCTCCTGGAATATTTATCCCACAACAAAAAATGGCGAACTTGCATGTCTGTCCGGGTAATAAAATACAAAGAAAACTAATCCAAAATATATATATATATATATATATATATATATATATATATATATATATATATATATAAACAAAAAGATAATGTATTAATTAATAAGACAAAATATTACATTGTTCCGAGCGACAAAAAAACAATAATATATATGACAAAACGATGCACGACAATATATAACGACTAGTACATTGTTCGTGTATATAAAATATGTCTAGATGTTCTGGAGAAAATGATGTTGCGCAAATACGTGTATGTATGCGTTTGTGTATGAGGTTTCCTAATAAGAAACGCGTTATCACGATAGACCCAAGTCCTATCGTGCTTAAGGAAAATAGGAAAAGGAGAATGATAGAAAATATTACAGTGTATTTATATGTTCCGAAAGCGTCCTCTAGTGGCAGTTTTTTAGTGAGAAAAGTAAATGGTGTTAATTCCACAAAACTTTACTTCCTACGGAACAACGCTTAGAGTCGTTGAGGTCTTTGGATTATCCAGGGCTAAATTGTAGAGAATTAATACTAAGCATATAAAATACAACGCAGTAAATGTTTCCTCGACTAATAGAATAACACCACCCTCACCCCCAACAAAAAAAACTGTGCGCATGCGTGTTAAAATTTCTAAATATACGTCAAAGCAGTGTTAACAGTTCAAATATTCACAACGGTTTTCTGCATTACGGAAAGATCTCCTAAGACGCTGAATTAATTTGAACATAATATATTAGGTTAATGAATTTATAGCATTATTATGTAGTCGTCGTAATGTTTACATTAGCTTTTTATTACCTTGCATTTCTTTTCAGTTAAATTGTGAAGTCCGTTGTAACAAAAAGAAATCGAATGAACTTTTTGAAACTGGAGATATATAAATATCGAAACAAATAGTCTACCGAAGGTAATATGTCTGCAAAATACAGCGCAAGCAGCAGAGTTGCCGATGTTATTCGTTTGATTCTTTGCTGCGTCGTATTTGCAGGATGAGTGATGTCAGTTAGTAAAAAACATCAGAAAATGTATATTTTCTTCTAATGCGTCATTCAAACGAGGCAATTTCTCGTTGTAACGTTACACAGATGTAACAAGGTGTTTCCTTTAAATTTCATAAACAGAGACGATTTTCATGGCAGATGTTCGGGCGAACTACATTCCTTGGTTCCACCAGAACATCACAGCTAGAGCACACTATTTCACGAAAACCGAATCGATTTCTTCTCATTTTCTTTATCTTTCATTAGTAAGGAATAAGTTCAAGTCAGACAGCCTCAGAACTATTACAATGTAGAATGAAATCCAGAGCGAATGCTTCCTTGATACCAACAATATTTACCTCTTTGTCAATAGACAACTCATAATATGCCACATTTGTTCCCTTCCTACAACAACGCCATTCAGTAAAAACGTTCATTGTGTGGATCTCATGTCTTGTATTAGGTGAACAATAGTACAAAAGAACTTAATTTCTGTTTGTGTTCATAAGCACAATCTTTATTTTACATAATTGTGGTAATAAATTCATTTTTCAATGCCAATGACTATTTTCTTTCCAAAGTTCACTATTTTATATCGATCAAGAAGTGTTTAAAAACTGACAGTTGTTGGTTTCCTGTCGTTCACGCGGGCGCCATTTTAAAAAAAAAATTTAATGCATCCCAAAGCCTATAGTGGCGTATTACACATGTCTGACTGGGCAAGCAATAAACAGCTAAATACATTTTATACGCACTTTTAAAAAAATTCCTAACATTTTCCAAATAACGTCGCTGTGAAAATTTGCATTGATATAATATGTAACGTTTTTTTTTATTATTATTAAATTTATTTTATATAAAGTTTTCTTTTTTAATTATTATTAAATTAAAACAGATTTAAAAAAAAAATCTTAAAATATGCTACAACAATTTTCTTGGTATTTTAAATAAAATAGAAAATAACATTCGAACGCTATTTATTTTTAGTTTATATAATGCAGTGTAAGAATAAATTTCGGTCTAATTTGCAACAGAAAAATGAAATTTCAGTATAACTTCCCTGGGGCAGCTATAAAAGTGACTTTAAAATCCAAAATCGTATTAGAATCAAAAGATAGAAGTATCAATTAGAATAAAAAAAAAAAAAACATCTATCTATCTATCTATCTATCTATCTATCTATCTATCTATCTATCTATCTCAGTTTGTTCATATCTATCTATCTATCTATCTCAGTTTGTTCATATCTACCTATCTATCTATCTATCTATCTATCTCAGTTTGTTCATTATCTATCTATCTATCTATCTATCTCAGTTTGTTCATATCTATCTATCTATCTATCTATCTCAGTTTGTTCATATCTATCTATCTATCTCAGTTTGTTCATATCTATCTATCTATCTATCTATCTATCTCAGTTTGTTCATATCTATCTATCTATCTCAGTTTGTTCATATCTATCTATCTATCTATCTATCTATCTATCTATCTATCTATCTCTGTTTGTTCATATCTATCTATCTATCTATCTATCTATCTCAGTTTGTTCATATCTATCTATCTATCTATCTATCTATCTATCTATCTATCTATCTCAGTCATTTCATACCTATCTCTTTCTATATATATGTAAACATATATTCATATGTTTAGATATATCAATATTCATTCGTGTCTGTTTTGGTAAAACGAGAATTTAAAAAACAGCTGTTCTATTTCCCGTCCTCATTCGTATTCTATCCTGTATTGAGAACAATAAAAAAAAAGGTTATAATACTGATAAAGATACACATACTATACCGGGTGTTGTTTATTTACCAGTTGGATCACAGAAGCAAAGTAAATGAACCGTGATGACTATTATGAGGATTCAGTTGTGAATTGTCTTTGCGTTTAAGAAAGCTTAATTTGACGAGATGGAATAGCGTCACAACTGGAGAACGCACGCGTTTGGAAATGATGATATTCTCGGATCATAAACTCATTTAATCAACATTGGAACAGTTTTAAGATATTTGCGAAGTATTGGGAAAATTTCAAAAGCTGGAAGTGAAAGACTTGACAGCGTCTCACTAGCTGTCTATCTCTTACGATGAAAATGGGTTTACTATTATAACCATAGCTTTGATCATTTAGAGTTTTTAGCAGGAATAACAAAAATTTAGTTTTCTTGGAAATAAGTATTTTCTCTTTATTTAGTGTATATAAATTACAAATTACTGACTAATATCTTCCCCTTGTAAAGATACTAGTGCAGAGAGTTAGTTATTACCTCTGACGACTGAGAGCTGCGATTTAAGAAAATTTTGTTAACATGACAAAAAAAAAAGAAAAAGAAAAGACGCATGGTGCATGATAAATTTCCTTCATACGTTGTGTTGTCGATGTAAAACACTGTGATAAACACGAGATTGGAATAACTTTTCTGCCGTTGGCAGATTCTTCAGACTTTTCGCCATTGTATTATCAATTGTTTCAGTCACTGCAGAATTTATAACCTGGGAAAATTTAAAGTTGCCTTCAAGCTTAAAAAAATTCATTGATAACTTTATTGCATCGAAACCAAATTTATTTTAAGAAGGTGGAATTCAGAAAATTTCGGATCGTAGAAATTCTCTGATTAATAAATACATAGACTCCTTGGTATTAATTAGGTTTCATGAAAATCTGTAGACTTTACACAGACAGCTATTATATGCTTTCCTACAATAGTTTATAAAATATACCTATATATAGTGATATACCTATATATATAGAATATATATATATATATATATATATATATATATATATATATATATATATATATATATATATACATGCATGAGACAGAAGTCAGGGGAGGATGGAAGATGTTTGTCTTAAAGGGAAGAAGTTTTATAGAATTAAAACCGAATATTAACCTTATGACATTAATTTGGGGTTATATTAAGAATATATAAATATCTACCACTCGTCCCTTCAGACCCTCAACCTCCGGCGTCTTCCTCTTTGGCTTGAGGCGCTCACTCGGTCTGAACCGAACTCAGGGGTAGCTGGCTGCACGCTCCCTGAGTACCCGTAGATTGTTCGACCGGTCACTGGCCAAGTACTGCCTGCTGCCCACGTTGTGTTAATTTTTAGATCCAGTAAGCGGGGTGTTGTCCATACGTTCACGGTCGATTAGGGACGTAGGCACGGCTGTGAGAGTGGGCGGCAAGAAAATTAGAATGTGGCAAACAAGGAAATAATATCTGCAGAAGCCGAATAACAATAGGTGAAATATTGATATCTTTTATATAAGAAAACAACAACAACAACAACAGTAGAAAGAGTTTACAGAAAGGGTAGAAAAGCAATTAACATAAGAACAGAGGACCACTCCTCTACCAATTATACCAACAGAGAGGTGTGTGTGTGTGATTAATTCGTTCCAAATCAACTTGGGAGGATATGTGACTCGTAATTCCAGCCCTATGTGGAAGTGTAGCTTTTCTGTTGCTTGTCGTAAGTGACAAACGTTAAGTTTCAGCGACTTTTCAATGCGACTGCTACAACGACGATGATATTTCTTATCTCTGACTCGCCACTAGACCGACTCACTGCAACGACAGTCTCTCTCTCTCTCAACGTCACTCTCGTCTAACGCCCAAGTCTCCCCAACTCAGCAAAACTCGCTTTTATATAGCAAACCGAAGGTTATAAGCCAGGTTGTTCACGCGCTTAACACGAGTGTCACCATAAGCAAGGTTTAAATTCAGATCTATTTCAAATCTCTTAGTGGATAAAATTAATTAGTTCAATGTTCATTCAATTGTCTTTTCGATGACCAAATTCAGCGAATACAACTTATGTTTAGATCAGATTTCGCTAGCAGTAAACATACACTGATCTTACCTCCCCGATCCAATTTACTTCAATATGTTTTTATCAAAAATATTATTTTTGTCTATTTTTTTTTAATGACCCAAATTAAACATCGCCTCCTGCTCTTTTGAATTTGTTTATAAACAAGTCCTCGCCAACCCGATTTGAAATTTATTCTTTATCCATCAGCCGTCTCAGGTTTCATATATCATTGTTCTAGATTCTTTCCTATTAATAGTGCTGATACAATTTGTAACTTTCACGGAAGATCGTGTTTTCTATCTTCAATCAATAAACGTTATATTTGCGTGTGTGCTTTCACGTGCGTCAACCTCTCTCTGTTACAAATATACCTATCATTATGTGAAGATATATCATTGTTATCTAAAGAATAGATAAATATACCTATTATATAAGAATATATAAATGGACTATATTTATATATAACTCTATCTATCTATCTATCTATCTATCTATCTATCTATCCGAGCGTCTATATACATATAGAATAAATCGATGGATCATATATATATATATATATATATATATATATATATATATATATATATATGTGTGTGTGTGTGTGTGTGTGTGTGTGTGTGTGTGTGTGTGTGTATGTGTGTATGTGTGTATTACAGTGAGTTTATAAAGTCCGTGGACAACTTTAAATAAATATAGATTTGGTGCTAAACTCGATATAATTAATCCTCAAAAAATATTGATTAACAAAATGACTTTTTTCAGAATTCTTATTCACCCACGGTTCCACAAGAAGAAAAATTAAACTACGTTTTTTGTTGGTTGAGGTGAAATCTTTCGAGTTTCTCAACAGAACGTTTACAACTCATTACAAGAAAGTGACACCACGTAGGAAATCCGAACCCAGATGGATGAAAAAGTTTCAAGAAAAAAGGTTTTTTCAATGCTAAGCCACAATGTGGAAAAAGAGGTTTAAGTTAAAAAAGATTAAGATTTGAAGAATAACATAACACTAGCTATTTAATACTGCACATGGACTTTAAAAACTACTTGTCGGTATATGAGTATATATGGAACGACTTTTATCACTTATCCTGCACAATGACGCACAAAGAAAATTTGAAAGAAATTTTTCTTCTTGATTGATATAATGATAATGGCGTTTATAAGGATTTTACGTAAAAGCTAGAAGGCTCGCCTTTATGAAGAACACCTAAAAGTCCATCAACTGTTAAAACGAAATTAAATTTTCTTCATAAAAGGAATAGAGTTATTTTATTAGTCATGCGCCAGTACATTTATCGGTTAAGTGATCAACCAAATGTATTAGGGCATGCGAAAATGATCGAACTAATATAAGTTATAATAAATTGAATAAGTCAAACTTTTTCTCGTCATTAAAAACTGAAAAGGGCAAGGGGATTGCATTGTAACTGTTGTGGAGTGATTTCACAGTGAAGGCTTGTATTTGTACTAAATCGGCCCTAAAATAGGTTCGACGTACAAAACGTTAGGAACTTGATATAATAGGTATAACGCAGAGTATTCTAGTTGTGGTCGCTGATACTTTAGTATTCGACTAACTGTCGTCCGACATCGACTGACCGACTGACTCTCACGTTACTCTTACTACTCCTACTTAGTATAGGTCGGAGAGCCTATTAACTATAGAATAGGTGTGTTCCACTATAACAGTAACACAGTGTATAACAGTGTTAGAATAACTATTCACTTCCAAAGGCAGACACTATGGTGTTTGTTTCATTTTTAGTAGGTTTGAAATAAAGTTGGCGTGTTTAAATTCTGTTAATCTCCATTATAACATTATAAAGAAAGTCGTACTTTATTATTTTTTATCCACAAACCAACGCTTCACTACTCAAGGCTACTGTATTAAAGCATCGGTTCGTGAAATGTACGTCATAGTAAATGAGAGTTCAGTCCCTGGGCCGAGTATTACAAACTCCTACACAGTGGAAAGAAGACTACCAATAAATGAATAGTAGTATAATAGAACGAGGCTAGATATCCTGAGACGTGGAATGGGAATAATCTTCCTTTTTTCCTGTATCTTCAGCATGTGAGTGATTATGGCTCTCCGCGACTACCTGTCCTTTGTAGCTCTTAGGAAGTTTTGTCATTTTGCTATCCGTCTGAATCCATACATTGATAACCGTTTGCACATGCTCGTTGCTCTCCTCCGTTCCTCTTGCCGTTAACATGTCTTCTGAGTGTCAAATTCTCCAAGATACCCCTTTCTTTTTTAAGTACTCGAGACATTTCAATTGTCTATTTCTAGTTCTAAATAAAAGGGTCATTTTGTTTCCATCTTCCTTTAAAACTTCCGTCGTTTCACATGTATTCAGTCCAAGATATTCTCTGAATCTTTTTAAGAATCAGTTTGCTTTTGCCTCAAGTTTTTTCTGCTGTTGTGGGGCGATTGTTCAGCATTCATTGCCATATAGAAGAACTGATATTACGTAACGGTTCAACAACTATTTCTTTGTTTCTCACAAAGTTTTCCTGTTTCTTAATATTTTTTTTTAGCTTTTGGAAGGCATTTTTCGCTATTTCAATGCGTCTTTATTTTTCGTTCTGTTTTAAAGCATTATCAATATATTTAAATGTCTGTACTAATTTTGATGTTTCCAGTTTGAAGTTCGCATATGTGACTGTTCCTTTTCCTGATAGCCATAAATCTTATTTTCTCAAAATTTATTTTATTCCTCCATTTTGCTACATTCAGTAGAAGTTCCTTTAGTTTCTTTTTTATTTCTGCCATCAACAATATATTAAATAAAAGATTCTGTTCAAAATTTCTTAAGGTTTTCCGAATCGATAGACATCTAAGAAGGCAGGAGGTTATGAAGCCGAAACATTCTTTATATTGATTTTCTTGCTACCAAAATGTTTCAGTTGATAGATTGTACTATCTTCTTCAGCTTTACAGTGCATAATGCAAAGGTTCTTCTTTAGGAACTGATGGCTAAAAGAAAAAAAACATATTGGAAACATACTGCGTAGCTGTATATACAAATCTCTTAGGAAAAAAGATATTAGACTCATCCTTTATGAATTGTACACCTGAAGAAATCTGTAACATTATTTGTAACAAATAAGAAACGCATATAGAATAGGGGTATTAGTCCGAATACCTCTTCGAATGATACTGACTCTTCTCAAAATTAAATTAAATTACACACACACAAACATACACACAGGCATATATATATATATATATATATATATATATATATATATTTATATATATATATATATATATAGATAGATAGAGAGAGAGAGAGAGAGAGAGAGAGAGAGAGGTTGAGGTAAATTTGAAAGCCATAGGGATAATTTATTAAAAGTATAATTAAACATTGATATTCAATTTACTAATTATTTAATTGTTAAAAATGTTGAAAATGTCATGCTTTCTCAAAATACGTCAATTCTGTGCATACATGATTCATTAATACGCCGAAGAGTTTTCAATACTATTTTACTGATTATATATATATATATATATATATATATATATATATATATATATGTGTGTGTGTGTGTTTGTGTCTGTGTGTGTATATATATATATATATATATATATATATATATATATATATATATATGTATATATATATATATATATATATATATATATATACTTTATATATACTTTAAATAATCCACTAATTATCAATACGTTGTAAAAAAAACAAAAAAAAACAAAACAAGTCTAGCAAGACTTATCTTCCAATTTCAAGTTTCGCATAAATTTGTTTATCTGGGGTAGATGATAGATCAACTTTAGTTTCAAATCTTTTCCATAAAAATGATTTTAAAGAAGATGTTATTACATGACGTAATCTATTCTGAAATTGAGCGATTATGCGTAGTAGATAATCTTTCCGTTATAAAAAATAACATTTTATGAAAATCTTAAAAGAAAATTGTATAAAAGTCTGAAATAAATATATATAGTAAATGGTAATGTTAATATTAAGCATTTCTTTATAAGGGACATTCGGTATTCATTAAACGAGGAATCAATTATGACTGTCGGTTGAAATTTATAAAATCTATCTCTTAAAACATTTTTTTATGGAAAATGGGTTTTTCAAATCCAGTAGCTGTTATCGTTTTTTTTCCCCCAATATTGATGGGAACTTCCATTCTAAACTTTTATTTTATTATTGTGGAATGTCCACATTTTGATTATGTCATTATTTTCTCTTCTATGCTATCATTTTAGTTGTTCCTATTGCTGAAAGTTATTTGTAATTTTGTAGCGCCAGTCCACCATGTTTGAAGTAGTATGGTCTTCACCAAGAGCCGCAGGTTTCACTCGCTCAATGTCATTTTTAACCATTGACCGGTTGTATACAGAGCACTATTTGAACGAGCTTGTTGACATGCCTGACATGCATATGAAAGTCCTGATCAGCCGAGGCTATTTAAGAATATGACTCGTGTTTTCAGGTTAATGTTTTGGTGCTGAAGCAATTTACTTTGTGTGCATCTAGCGTAGCATAGTCTATATTCAATTTTCCAAATTTCCTAAGTTTCCTGATTTGAATGGTTCTAACTATTTATAGTTTATTGAATATTAAATACAGATATCGTAATATTCAACATAACCTTACATTATTGGGCAATAAATTGGTTATTTATTAATAATGTTTGTAATGAGCAATAAATTTGTTATTTATTAATAATGTTTGTAATGGGCAATAAATTGGTTATTTATTAATAATGTTTGTAATGGGCAATAAATTGGTTATTTATTAATAATGTTTGTAATGG